GAGAGAGAGAGAGAGAGAGAGAGAGAGAGAGAGAGAGAGAGAGAGAGAGAGAGAGACATTCTGCTGGGGGAATGGAGAGTACATTCTGTTTTGGATATGTTGTGTTTGGGCTGTCCTCTGTGCAAAAAATATAATACTCTCCTTTTTGTTTCAGTCACAAGTCTGGCAGAAGCAGTCTTGTCAAAATTAATTTATCATTCCTAATTCCAAACATTTCTGGTGTAGAGAAATATCTAAAATGACATAGTCCATCCTCACCCTATTCCTCTGCCTTTGGACATCTCTAATACAAGAGAATTTGAAGTAAAGTTTGTAAGGGTTTTAAACCAGGAAAAGGTCATATTGTGGTATAGTTTTTGTTTAGCATCTACTCCCTCTTACCAAGCAAAAGCAACTTAATCTAATTCTAGAAGCACTTAATTCTTCTTCTGCACCCTGAAAAGTTCAAAAGGACTTCTCTGATCTGTATCTTGACCCTTTCAGAGTGGGGAAAGCTGGTATTGTCCATAGGGAGATCCTAATTCCTTTCTGGAAATGGAGAAGCCCATGATTTTTACTAGTCTGGAGATGTTTCTGGTTCCAAATTTGTCACCTTTAATCCATATTCCAGAATTTTACCTTTGGTTCTTGACCTTTTTCACACTTTATAAAGGGAAAAATCTGGAAAGAGACTTTAAACTTGAGAAATAGTTATTCTTATTATTATTTTGTTCAGCTAAATAGGTTTTTCATGTTGCCCCAAGTGTAGAACATCCGTGTGGAATTGTCATCTAGACACATGTGGGACTAGATGGAGTTTGGTAGAGAAAGGAGGATTGGATGTGTAGATTTAGGAGTTATATTTGCGAATATGCTAGTTGTCTCCATGGGAGCTGATGATCTTTAGCCAAGAGTATAGAGAAAGAACAGGAGAGATCCCAAACAAGCCTTCAGCATAGGAAACTTGGATGATGAGCGTACAGGAAGGAACCATGAGACAGCATGGTCAAGAGTATAAAGAAGCAGTAGACGGAGGCCACTGCTGCTGTGTCAGGAACAATGAGGACTCTGAAATCAGTGGCCCTTAGATTTAGCAGGAAAGTGGTCACCCCCTGGGAACCTTGCAGAGAAAAATTAAGATGTTACCCTTCGTGACCCTACTGCAGAGACCTTGGTATTCTTATCTAGGTCCCCCTAGCATTAAAAGGTCTTATTGGAAGGGCAGCTAGGTGGCGCAATGGATAGAGCACTGACTCTGGAGTGAGGAGAACCTGAGTTCAAATCCAGCCTCAGACTCTTAACACTTACTAGCTGTGTGACCCTGGGCAAGTCACTTAACCCCATTGCCTAGCCAAAAAAAAAAAAGGTCTTATTGGCAAAGAAAAGACAGCTGAAAAACTTAGATAAAAACTGCTATAAAGTACATACGAGGCATCTTTGTGCAAGAAGTTGAAGGTTGACCTGAACGTGCCATTTTCGTGGATGGAATGTGCTGCTTTCCCCGATTCTAGCAATGTTGTGCTCTCAGTGGTAGAAAATGTAATGTTGCTGACCTCGTGATGCACCAGGGACCCGAAGCAAGCACAGGGCGCAACCTCAATGCCTTCTCTTGTCCTTCTAGACGGCTGAGTCAGAGACCGACAGCAGAAGAACTGGAACAAAGGAACATACTGCAGCGTAAGTGACAGCCAGCACCGGAGCTCAGCCGTGCCGGGGCGCTCGGGGCTTTTTGTATCTTGTGTGTTCTGCTTTATCTCTGACTGAAGTGTCACTAAACAAAAGCAGAATGTAAGAACCACGAGGGGGAAATGGATACTTGCCACCTTAGGAAATAGTCCAATCAAGAGTTGTTCCCCCTACAAAATTGGCTGTGCTGGGCCACCTGGAGTAGGACAATAGTGTAACATTGGGACTACCTGGGTCCCGAGGCTGGTGTGAAGAATGTTCTTTGTTGGGGGCAGCTAGGTGGCGCAGTGAATAGTGCTCTGGCCTTGGAGTCAGGAGGACCTGAGTTCAAAACCAACCTCAGATACTTGACACTTACTAGCTGTGTGACCCTGGGCAAGTCACTTCACCCCAGTTGCCTCATTAAAAAAAAAAAGAGTTACAAAACACTTTGTATACATTGGAATATATTTTATGATTATATACATGGAACCTGTCACTGAGGTGACTTCGTATGTTAGGAAAGTTACTGTTTTACTTAGCTTAGTTTTATGTTTGACGTATCTTAAATATTGGGAGAATCTATGGGAGTCCCCTGTAACAAGGATTTGAACTGAAGATGTAATCTCTGTGACAGTTTTATTTAGTTGCCTTTCTCAGAGCAGTCCCTGAGCTCAGCTGGTACCTTCTCCTTAACCGCTCTTCCCCACTGGGCAGTGTTCCTGCCCCCCAGGATCTCCAAAAGTTCCACACTCCATTCAGGAAACAGGACTTTGTGTTCTATCCACTTGGCATGAACCAGAACAATTCTTGAAATGTTCTCTGAGTTTGTATGAGGCTGGCATTTGAAAGCAGACCAGGGTATCTTGGGGATGTGGTTACGCTTCCCTGGAATAATGGTGTTACTTATGTGTGACACATTCTAGTTCACAGAGTGCTTTCACATCCATTAGCTCTCTCTGCATCCCACAAGAAACCTGGGAGGCAATTAGGATAACTGTCATTATCCTCATTTTAAAAATGGGGAAACTAAAGGACAGAGATGGTCAGTAAATTAATAGCTGGCTGAAACTTACATATACATCTACATACACACATATGAATATACATATATTTACATACACATATACATAGTCATACACACATATCTCACTTTGTTGTTTGCAGCATGCCTTATAAATGTTAGCTCATTTTATCCTCTCAGCAACCCTGGAAAGTAATCAGTCAACTCTCATTTTTAACTGGCTCCTTTGTGTCAGGAACTGTTCTTAGTACAGGCCACACAAAGAAGGTTGAAAGACCGTCCCTGCCCTCCAGGAGCATACGTTCTAACGAGGGAGACAGACAACCATGTACAAACAAGCGATAGACAGAGGGAACTGGAGACAGTCCAGAGAAGAGTTAAGGGGCATCCAGAAAGACGCCTTGCAGAAGGTTGGATTTGGCTGAGCCTTGAATCCAGGAAAGTTAGGAGGAAAACATAATGAGAAATAGCTTTCCAAGCATGGTGGAAAGCCTGAGAAAATGTGTGAGGAATAGCAGTGAAGTCAGTGTCACTGAATCTCAGAAGATGTGGGGCTCAAAGGGTAAGGAGACAGGAAAGCTTGGAAAGGGCCTGTTTCGGGGTGGGGGGTGGGGTGGGGTGGGGTTAAAAACTAAACAGGGGATTTTATCTTTGACCCTGAAGGTGATCAGGAGCTTCTAGAGTTTATGGAATTGGAGAGGGTGGGTGCAGTTTGCCAGTCAGCCTTATCCTTTAGGAAGATCAGTTTTGCTGTTGAGTGGAGGATGGAGCAGAGTGGACAGACTAGTGAGAGAGACCAACCAGCAGCCTACTGCATGAGGCCAGGTGTGAGGTGATAAGAGCCTGCTTCACAGTAGAGACCGTGTCTGAGGCAGGAAGGAGGTGTGTAGAAGAGAAATTGTGAAGAGAAAAACAGACTTTGAAAAGAAAAAAAAAGAAAAGACTTTGCATCTGATTGGTGATATTGTTATCCCTATTTTACAGATGAGAAAACTGAGGTATAAAAAGGACAAATGACTTACACGGGGTCACCTTCCTACTAATAGGCAGATTTAGAACCCCAAATTGAAGGTTATTTCTACTGTGGTACACAGCTATTATTTGGGTTTAAAAAGGTCCAAGACACTCTTAATATGATCTTAAACCACATTCATTCACTTGGTAAGTTTTAAGCACAGAAACTATGCAACCCAACCTCTGAGCCCCAGAGATTCATTTCTTTTTCTTTTTTTTATTTGTTTTTTTTTTTTTTAGTTTATTTAAATATTTATTTTAGTTTTCAACATTCACTTCCACAAGATTTTGAGTTTCAAATTTTCTCCCCATCTCACCCCTCACCCCACCCCAAGACGGCGTGCATTCTGACTACCCTTTCCCCTAATTGCCCTCCCTTTTGTCACCCCCCCATTCTGTTTTCCTGTAGGGCAGGATAGATTTCTATTACCCATTGCCTGTATATCTTATTTTCCAGTTGCATGTAAAAACGATTTTTAACATTTGTTTTTAAAACTTTAGGTTCGAGGGCAGCTAGGTGGCGCAGTGGATAGAGCACCAGCCCTGAGTTCAAATGCAGCCTCAGACCAAACACTTGACACTTACTAGCTGTGTCACCCTGGGCAAGTCACTTAACCCCAATTACGTAAAGAAAAAATAAAATAAAACTTTAGGTTACAAATTCTCTCCCTTCCTCCCTCCCCACCCACCCTCATTGAGAAGGCAAGCAACTCGATACAGGTTATACATGTGTAGTCATGCAGAACACGTCCATAGTAGTCATGTTGTGAAAAACTAACTATATTTCCCTTCATCCTATCCTGCCCTGTTTATTTTTTATTTATTTATTTATTTATTTTTGCTTTTTGGTGTGGTAGTTGGGGTTAAATGACTTGCCCAGGGTCACACAGCTAGTAAGTGTTATGTATCTGAGGCCAGATTTGAACTCAGGTCCTCCTGACTCCAGGGCCAGTGCTCTATCCACTGCACCACTTAGCTGCCCCCCTCCCTGCCACGTGGGGTGGGGAGGGGGATTGGGAAGGGGGGGAGCCATTTATTCTATTGTCTCTTTTGACTCTGTCCCTTCTCAGAAGTGTTTTCTTCTGATTATCCCCTCCCCCAATCTACCCTCTTTTCTATCATTCCCCCCACCCTTATCCCCTTCCCCCCTGTTTTCCTGTAGGGTACGATAGATTTCCATACCAAATTGAGTGTGTATGTTATTCCCTCCTTAAGCCAAATAACGATGAGAATAAGATTCACTCTTTCTCTCTCACCTTCCCCCACTTCTCCTCCAATGTAAAAGTGCAGAGACTCATTTCTTACGTGTGTACTCTAGGTGGATTTTTGGTGCCAAGTGAAAAACATTGAATATGATAACTGGGGATCAATGTTTTCTGCAAATTGAATTTTAAAAAATTCATATTATCATTTCCCATCCTCTAATTGTAGCCAAAAATGAAGCTGACCGGCAAGCAGAAAAACGAGAAATCAAACGTCGACTGACCAGGAAGGTACAGCCATACAACTCTTGTGCATGTCAGCTGTTTGTTGTGTGTCCTGTTGGACCTGAGTGCTATGTAGATAGGTGCTGATTAGAAAAGCTCAAAGCAGACAGGAAGTTTCTTGGGAGATGACTGTGCTGTAATAACGACAGTTGTGTTTTTAGGATGAAAAAGGTATGACTGGTTTGTTTTGCTGGACTGGATTTTTGAGGGAGTTTTACTTTCAGTCTTGCTTGCACAAGAAGGTTCATTGGGCAGAGAAGTAGGGGAGGTGCATTATCAGAAATAAATATGATGTAGATACAGAAAACATCAGTAGAACACAAATTTTAAAAATCTCACTAGACAGTAATCTGTGTGAAAACTGAGTTTCAGTGGCCCTTGTTCTCACTGAGCCCCCAGGTGACTGGCTTACCAGCCCAAAGCTCATTCACTCTCAGGGCCCCTAAACAAGGCCGGTGATGGTCTGCTGCCCTAGCATAGGAAGGCATCTAAGAGGGCTTCAGGCCCAGTTCTGGGCATCTGTCTCAGGAAGAGCTTTGATAAACTAGCTGGGTGTCCAAGGATGGTGACCAGGATGTCAAAGAAATGTAGAGCTACATCCTGTGAGGATCTGTGGTGTAAAGAGAAGCCCTGGGGATTCCTCCTAGCCAAGGTTTGAAGGCTTGTCGTGTGTAAGAAAACTTTGACTTGTTTTGCTTGGCTCCAGAAGACAGCATCTAGCAATCGTGGGTCAAAGAGGCAGCATGGTCTAGTGGACAGAGGAAAACCTGGGTTCAAAACCTTCCTTGGATACTTGCTAGCTGTTGGGACCTTGACAGGGCACTTAACTGCCCTGTGCCCCAATGTCTTCATCTGCAAAATCAAAGGTCTGGAGTCGATATCCTTCCAGCTCTGAATGTGTGATTCTGTAAATTAGAGAGAGGCAGATCTTGGTTGAATAGAAGGAAGAAATTATTTTATGGCTAGAGTGATCCAAAAAAAGAGTGGAATACTTCATGAGGTTGTTTGTTCACCGTCATGGTAGGGCAGAATCCTGTTTAGATCCAATTTGTACTGGATGACCTAGGAGCTTCTTTCCCAAACCATTTCTATTATTCACAAAAATGTAGAAGAAAAAGACTGTGAAGCTTCCTCCTGGGAAATCTTATATGCCAAGCAACTGTCTGCTCTATATCTTAAACTGCTGAAGTTTTAAAGCAAATGATAGAGGAAGACAGCAGGAAATATTTGGAGAAGGACAGTGTGCTCCAGTTATGGATAGACATTCTCCAGGCTGGGCACAGACTCAACTGATGATGGCAGATTCCTGGTCAGCTCCAGGTTGTGCTCAATGACCCTGGACACTCCAGGAAGTCTAGGAGAGATCGAGCCTTCTCTTCTCCCCATTTCCCCAGGCAGCTGTGAAACAGATGGCCCAGCTTAGATAGAAGAATGAATGGAAACGTGTCCTTTGGTGACCTAATTGGGTTGTTATAGAGGTCCTCTCTAAGTTAGTATTTGTAACTTTCACATGTATAATCACCTTTTGTTAAAAAATGAACTCTTTATTTATAAACATAGAAAACATAGCTGCCTATTTCTGGGTAGTCCAGTCTCTTTATATAGGTGTTTGTATATAGTTGTAGTCATTTGAAACGCACAAATACATAATCAGCTTTTAATCCGTGGTTGGTACCTGATAACTAGTGCTACAAGGAAGGTAATATATTCTTTTCTTCTTTCAGCTTAGTCAAAGGCCTACAGTGGCTGAACTCTTAGCCAGGAAAATCCTGAGATTTAATGAGTATGTAGAGGTAACCGACGCTCAGGACTATGACCGGCGAGCTGACAAGCCCTGGACAAAATTAACCCCTGCTGACAAGGTACCTGGAAAACATCTTTTGCTTTATTTAAGGCAGCTAGGTGGCACAATAGATAAAGTTCCCAGCCTGGAGTCAGGAAGACTGATCCTCTGAGTTCAAATCCTGCCTCAGACACTCCCAAGCTACATGACCCTGGGCAAGTCACTTCACCCTGGTTGCCTCACTATCACTATCTGTAAAGTGAGCTGGAGAAGGAAAACCACTGGAGTATCTCTGCCAAGAAAACCCCAGATGAGGTAACAGAGAGTCTGAAACGACTGAAGAATAACACCAAATGTACTGACTGAAAGAAAGAATTGTCCGTAGAGCAGAAGCTGCTTCCTCCCCTTGGAATGATTTCTTATTTGTCCAGACTTTGATTTGGAGATTAATTTGGTGTGTCACCTTGGGCAAGGCCTGGTAGTTTTTCTTTTGTAAAAATTCGGGGCTGACTGTAGATGACTCAGTGGTCATCTATATTCCCAATTCCTAAATTCCACAACTTATTTCTCCACATGTGTATGTTTCATTACATGAAAATGTAGTTTCATTACATGAAAACTTTCTCTTCCCGCATCAGCTCATGTGCCACCACTTCCATGAAACATTCCTGATTGCCCCAAGGGAAAACATCTTCTCTCCCTCTGCCCTTCTTGAGCACTTTGTCTGGGTCTCTTTGCCCAGTCACACTTCTTTGCATCTACCACATGATATCCTTTCTATATATTCCAAGCTCCCTAAGGTCAGGGGCTGCCTCATTTTTTATCTCTTTATAGCCAACACCTAGAACAATGCCTTAATAATCTATTACAATGGATAGAGCACCGGCCCTGAAGTCAGGAGGACCTGAATTCAAATGCGGCCTCAGACCAAACACTTGACCCTTACTAGCCGTGTGACCCTGGGCAAGTCACTTAACCCCAACTGCCTAAGCCAAAAAAAAAAAAAATATATATATATATATATATATGTAAAATCGATTACATTGACATAGTATTGGCAGAGTGCTTGATACATACTTTCTCATTTGGTTCTCAACCCTGTGAAGTAGATCCTCTTATTATCCCTGTTTTACAGATGAGGAAACTGAGGCTCAGATTAATTGACTTGTCCAGGGTCACACAGCCAGTATCTCAAGTGAGATTTAGTTCAGTACTGATTCCAAGTCCAGCACTCTACCCACTACCCTACATTTTGCGTGGAATAGATGTTTAATAAGTGGTAGTAGAATTCAACATGAAATGCCTTAAAAAAATCAGTCAACTCTCTTATCAGTCCTGCTGAATTGCAAATGTGCATAGGTCTTTTTCTCTTATTTCACTGAGAGAAGTCTTTCTGTCACTCTGGCCAAGACTATGATTGTGGCTAGGAGAAAAGTAGCTAAAAGCCTTTTTATGTCTTCGCTGCAGGCTGCCATTCGAAAGGAACTCAATGAGTTTAAAAGTTCAGAGATGGAAGTTCATGAAGACAGCAAACATTTTACACGGTAAGAGACAAAGAATCCTGTTAATCCTTGCAAAACAGTAAAACATGGCAGAATCATTTAAAAATTCTTGGAATCCTAAAAAACAAAGCAAAACAAAACAACAACAAAAAAGACGCTCCAAAAAACCAGAATGGCAGTCATTTAGTAAATATTTAGTACCTGCTGCATGACTGGCACAGTGCTCATCTCTGGGGTACAAATGCAAATGAAAAACAAAGATAGTCTCTGCCTCTGAGGAGCTTACAATCCATTAGGGTCCGCTAGGCACCAAAGGAAGCCTTGGGGAGGGGTGGCCCAGCTGGAGCCCAAGGGAGAAGTCCAGATACGGGTGGGGAGGAAAGGAGAAGAAAAGTGTGCTGAGCCTGTTCTTTAAATAGAGTTCCTGGAGCCCCTAGCCCAGTAGTCCAGTCAGAGGGGCACAAGGGACCTCTGGCATGGGAGGACCAGGCCAATTCAATCTTGTATGAGATTTCCCAGTGAGGACAGGAAAACTCATTGACTGGGGAAAACCTCAGTATTAGAGGTCTGGTTGTTCTAGCTAGGTTATAAGTGAAGAAATATTACCTCTCCTCTCTCGAGCTCAGTTTCCTCATCACTAACCACCTAAGTGAGGAAATTGATCCGGATAATATCTAAGGTCCCTTCCATAGCCTAATCATGCTATGTGAAACTGTGAGAGTTTCAGCCCAGTTGGCTTTCCTCTCTCACATCCAGCTCCCCAGCTGTTTGCTAATGACTGGTCCTTTTTCCCTGTGTCCCAGTGTACCTGGCCAGGTGGAAGAGGAGTTAGGTATACTCCTTGCTCTTCATTCCGATGTCCAGGTTGTCTTCTTCCCTCCATCACTCCATCCATCTCTGTTAACCTGTCCCAAATCCTTATTGCTGTTGTTGTTCACCCTCCATGTCAGTTTCCCTTCTTTCTGTACCTAGCTCACAGTCTTCCTCTCTGCCTCATACACAGCTGTATATGTATTTCAGTATATGTATTGCCCCCCCCACTCCAAACACCCTGCCTCTTAAACTCTCTTGACCTCTATCTTCAGTTCATCTCATCCATACATAGGAACCATGCCGTTGCTCTGACCTTCACCTAAATGTTCCATGAGTTGGAAGGAACTCTGAAATTCTTTCCTCCCATCCCAAGCTCCCGTCATCTTATTATTATTAAAGTTGGTCAGTTCTACCCTAATCAGCTACCCTTTAATCTCCTGCCCCATTGTGCACCTTGCAGACCTCTACCATATGTCTCTTGACTGGATTCACTTACAAATGATGTTACCTGGTTATTCCAAGCCTCCTCCTCTCTTTTCAGACCTCCTGTGACTCCTCGTTCCCTCTACCCCTGCCTCCAAGCAAATGACCTTACCTTCTACTTCACTCAGAAAATAGGGGTCATCTATAATGCACTCTACCTTTCTCCACACCTCAGATCCCCCATTTTCCCCTCCTTTACTCCAGGCTCTGAGGAAGAGAAGAAGGTCCTTGCCACAACCATGCTTTCCCTTGGGCTCTTGACCCTTCGTCTCCCATCTCTTGTGGCAGCCTTCCGTGCCTAATCATTACCTCTCTTTAGCTTCTGGTTATTCCTTGTTCATCACCTCCTTCTCTTCAAGCATGCCAAGGCCTCCCTTTTTTTAACAAAGGAAAACTTTACTTGGCAACGGCATACCTTCCAGCTGTTATCCTGTGTCTGTCTCTTCTGTTTTTCACAGTCAGGCTCCTAGAAGGGAGGGTCACTATTTTTTGCCTCCATTTCCTCAGCTCTCATTCTCTTTAGTTCCTTATGTTTGGTTTTGAACTCTTTACCTTTCCTGGAACAGCTCTCTCCAAGGCTACCAGTGTTCTCCTAATTGCCAGAGTCAGTTCACTTTCTCAGACCTCATCCCGTTTTATCTATGTAGCAGCATTTGACACTGCTTGCCATTCTGTCCTCCTCTTTTAGCCTCTGCTTGCCTCCCGAAGGTAGCACTGGCCCACTTTAACCTTACATTATTCTAGGTGCTATGAGAAGGGCAGAGCATTTTGCCTGCTCATTGTAACCTCTCTTTTGATCTGTCTGTTTTCAACTCACCCATTGAGTGTAAGTATCCCCAAAAGCTTTGTCCAGGGGCCTTCATCTCTTCTCTCTACATACTCTCTCCCTTGGAGTGCATTTAGCAACCTCATTTTCCTAAAGTCATCTTATACTCAAGATGTCCAAAATGGAATTCATTTTCCTCAAAATTCATCTGGACCCAAGTTCCCTTGGGCCTGGCCACCACCATCTTTGTGATCACTTGGTTTTACAGTCTTGGGGTTGTACTTAACTTTGCCTTCTCCCAGGGATCCTCTTCCAAAACAAAGAATGAACACTACGGTCCCTGTCCCTGTACCCATGTTTCCAGTCAGTTGCTAAGTCTTGCTGATTTTACCACCACAACACGCTTCGTATCCATTCCCTTTTTTCCACCAGCTCCTCATCTCTCACCCAGCTAGTGTCAGTAGCCTTAGTTCTAATTGCTCTTCCTGTTTCCTGTCTCTCCAATTCATCCTCCACCCAGCTGCCAAACTGAATTCCTGTCATGCTCCTTTTCAAAAACTTTTAGCTGATCCTTAGTGCCATTCAAAAAACCAAACTCATGCACCTGACATTTAAAACCCTTCACAATATTGCTTTTAAATACTTTTTCAAAACTGACCTGCTTTGCTGTTGCTTGTAAATGACATTCCATCTCTTCCTTCCATCCTTAGCACAGGAGGTACCCATGTCTGACACATACTCCTCCTTCACCCCATCCTCAGAACCCCTGGCGTCCTTCAAAGCACAGCTTTTATAGGAGGCTTTGCTCAGTTCCCCATCCATAATTGTTAGTGCTTTAGTGGTCTTCTCCCCACCACCCCACTTTACTTTTCTCTTATATCTTTATTCCTCTGTCTTCTCTCTTCCCATAACTTTAAATTTTGTGTACATTTGTGTACACACACACACACACACACACACACACACACACACACACACCCTCTCCCAGAAAGAACAGAGCCTATCTTTTTGTCCCCTGTGCCTAGCACCGTTCATTGTATGTAGTAGGCTCTGATTAAATATTTGTTTAATTGAATTAAGCATGCCATGGTGGGAGCTCTCTTTCTAACACTGTGGATAGCAGCAATCTCTTTGGCTGTAGGTAACATTTATAGAAAGCAGTCCATTTACAAAGGTCTGTGACGTTGGTCTAAAGGACCTATTTTTCATATCTGTTGATATGGTGACGCAACAGTCCCAAAATCTAATGGGACTTCAAGCTGTAATAATGCGTGTCTAGAACAAGGATGGTTCTATTTATTTGCCTCTGGGTACTGTGTTATATTAAAATTGGAATGCATACTGGAAAAGGGGACTGGACTGCTTTGGAGCCTGGAAATCATGCTGGAGAAGAGTTAACTGAAGAATCTGCAGTATTTACCCTGAAGAAAAGGAGGAGGGGGCAGGGAACAGTGACAGTGATCTGCTTTCAAGTCTTTGAAGGGCTATTTCTTGAGAAAGAAGTTACATTTCTTTTGTCTGGCACCTGGAAGGCAGAGCTAAAGACTAATGGTTAGAAGGTAGTGGGGCAGAATTCATGCCACTGTAAGGAAGGAATAATTGGAGTTGTCTTTACACTGAATGGGCTGGCTTGGGAGAAGCCTGGGAACTCCTTGGTGTGGCTAGGAAAGTGCTGCCATGGTTGGGCCTCAAGGGTTAAACTGGGTGAATTTTGAGATCTATGAAGAGATGCTTTGGAAGACTGTGATTATGTGGCCCTGGTGAAGCCACTAAGGGTTAACCTGCCCACCTTCGCCTTAAGAGTGAAGTATTGATTGTGCATGCTTATTGTAACCTCCCTCTTACCTGTCTGGTTTTAGCTTCCATCGACCATGATGCTGACTTGCGGGGGAGACGCTTAAAGGCCCCCAAAACAGGGCTGCTTTCCTGCTTCAGTCTCTCAATACATCGAAGACCCTTTAGTTCTCCCCAAATGGACTCACCATAGTTCTAAGGTGGATGACATCTCTCTGAATGTAGCATTTCACTGGAACAAATGAGGACCTCTGGGGCCAGACTGAACACTATATACCAGTGCTTTTCCACCTTTGTGGACTGCATCTCACACTTCAAGCAGAGCCCAAAGTTCTTGGGAGGATTTTCAGATTGTACATTTTGCTCCCCCTAAGAAACTGCTGCCCTGTGTGAATGCACTCTGGTACTGCTAGTATAATACCCTGTCCAGCCACATCCTGGCAAAATCCCCACTACCAAACCCAGCTGGTGGAGAGGCCGGAGCTGCCAGCACCTGCCTCCTGGGAAAAAGACATGCTGCCACTCCTCACTCCCTGCCCTTCGTCTAGCTCACCAGTTGCTGGGACATACAGGGAAGGTCTTCTGGCCTCCTACGAGGATGTGTCATTAATTAAGGCCAGTTGAAAAGCACTGTCTCATACCTCGCATAACACAGCAATATTCTCTTCATCGGACAGTTGAGCCTAAAAGGATGCCCAAGATCCATTGACTCCCATTTTGACACCAATCAGCCAGGTTCTTTTTTGTAAATAATCTTGAAGAAGTGTTGGTTACATCTATTTTTCCTGTTGATCTTTTCTTGGTTTAGTCTGAGCTGCAACACCAGATTCTGGGGTTGGTGAAATGGGAAATGTGTGTATATTTTCTTAATGCAAAAACAAAATGAAAAACTACCCCACAGGTAAGCAGGAAACTGACACCAATATGACTTCTGTATGATTGGCTTTTGTATTTTATTGCACCAAATGATAGGCTGAATCACTACTGACCAAGAACTGTGTTCTCTTGCAAAACTGAGCTGGAGCAGTTCTGTGGGGGGAGGTCCCTTTCCTCCCACCAGCCAGAAACACAGTCATGCCCAGTGGGCTGGGGCTCACCAAATCACAGTGACGGGACTTTGGGGGGAAATAAAAAGCAGGATCATGTACTGGTTCCCTCTCTTGTCACCTTGGCAGCTTCACCCCAAAACAGTTGGCCCTCTCCTGCTGCATTTGCCCCTTCACGTGGATCACTTCCTGACTTCTCCCTTTCCCCCAACACCTACATACTGATCCCTTCCATCTCTCACCAGCCGCCCAAACCTCAGCTCATTTCTCTTCTAGCAAACCCTAGCATTTGCACCTGGTGCCTAGACCCAATTTGATGTCCCACCCCCCAACTCTGTTCCACAAAGGGGTCTCATTCTTGTTCATCATTTTTGCTGCCTTAAAATGAATGATTCAGATGCTCTTAGATTTTTATGAAAACCATCTAGCCTCCTTTATTTCCCTCAGATTCATACCCAAAAGAGGAGGAAAAAAAAATGAGTCCTGCTCCCACTGATAAATGTGGTTTTGCGGTTTGTTTGGTGTGTGATTTTTTTTTTTCTAAAGTTTTGTAATTTGTGCCAGTTTCCTAGATGGTTTTCTCCTTTTTCCCCCCTTGTATTCTACCTTGTTCCTTTGCTCTATCCTCTCCAATGCTCGACTGTGTTCTCCTTTTTCCCTTTCCATATCAGTATGTCAGTGTGAAGCCTACTGTGAAATATTTGAATTTCAGGTCCCAACAAAGGGCTAAAGTGACCTTTAAAGGCAGTGTTTCTTTGGGGGGTTGGGGGGGCAGTATTAACTGTCAAGGTAGGTGCTGTGACCATGTCCCATGGTATAATTTAGGATGACAGTGGGAAGGCAAGTGATGGTGCTACTGAAGAATATGAGTTGTCCTCTGAAGGCAGGTAGGCCCACATGGGTACCTGCTCACTTGTCTTTTCCTAGCCATTTGGCCTGCCTGGGGCATGGTTGGAGCCACACCTCTAGCTGAATGAAACTCACACCAGCATTCTCTGGGGTTTGAGAAGATGTTTGCTACCTTCCTCTCACTGCCTTCACTTTATAATCCAAAGGTGCCAAGCTGGTGCCCTGGGTTACCAGTCAGCCTTCTGTGTGCCACCAGGGAGCCCCATTAACCTTTCATCTCAGTCATGTCCTTCTTTTGGGGGGTGGGGGGGACCCAGTCTTTTTCAGGGTTTTTTTATAAGATGGATTTCGAATTCCCTTTCCCTGTAATTATCAAAAATTCACATAATGTAAAGAAGAGGTAAAGTTCTTCCTAGAAAAATCTTGTATTTTAGACTAAAGAATACTTTCTTGATGTACAAAATCTCTTTGTAGAGGAAATAATTACATTGTATATCAGTCTTCCTATCAATAAATATTAATTATTAAAGTATTATAGATTTTTTTAAAATTTCCTATTTTATTCACAAAACCTGTGCTGACTCCTTTGTTTGCATATGTGGAAAATCACAGGTATTTATGCAGTAAACCTTTTATGTAACAGTTGAGGGGGATAGTTTATCCAAATTAAGACTTATAAGTTTAAATAGTAACAATTTGTAACAAAAAACCAATAATGCTTATTGGTCCAAACTTGGGCCAATGAATAAACAAGACCTTTGAAAGGGGAAGAAATATTTGGTATACACTTATGCCAAATTTTGGTGGTATTAAACTAAAATTCTATTTAAAAATATGTGTATCATCCTGTATACCAAGGTAACCTCCCAAAGGGTATATGCTTTAGACATAACCGGTGACCTTACAAATTAGAGGGGGAATATATACACACAGGTATGTTATGTGTGGGCAGGGTTCTGTGGTTTGGGAGAGAGCAGACCACTATTTCCACATTTTCATGGAGGAAGATGAGGCCCCAGGGAACCAGTGATCATGTTCCATTCTCAGCGCTAAGCTGCTCAGTGGAGAATAAAGAGAATGGGAGTAGTTGTCCATGAGCTGCACTTATGTTTTCTACAGGTCACGTGGGAATAGGGAAAGTGCACTTGGAACCATGTAGTAGCAGTGGCTCATGGTGCTTACCATTCCAGTGTGCTTTGATATATGGTATATTATTTGACTCTGAACCCAAACCAGTGTAGTGGGGGTACAGGTAGTTACTGTCCCTATTTTACAGATTTGGAAACTGAAACTTTATTGCTGTGATTTTACCAAAGAGGTGACAGTTCTGGAAAGCCCGGCCTTTTATCTCATTTTCCAGGGCTCTCTCCATAATGGAATTCAACACACATTGAGTGCCTGCTATGTACAAGGTACTGGAGAAGCAAAAATGAAAAACATCCATTTTTGCTCATAGCGACATTAGAGTTTGTAAAGAAGTTAGGACATGTGCACAAACCAGTCAGTCAACCTTTGTGATATGCCAGGCCGGCCTTGCCCTCAAGGAACTTATAGTCTAATGGATGAGACAACATGCAAACAACTATTTACAATTATTGATTACAGTGATTGACTGTAAGCCCCAGCACTTCCTGGAAGTGCCCCGAACTCCTGAATGTAGCGAGCATGGACTACAGGGATTTTGCCCTGGACAAGAGTAAACCATCCAGTCCTGTCCCAATAAAAATCCCGAGTCAAAATCATCCTGAAAAATGAGGTTCCATCTATCCCTGAATCTTTGGACCCTTCCTGTCCCCTCTAAAAATTCAACATTCTATTTATCACTGATGACACTTAGGAGTCCCATGGCTGACTGGATCACATCACTTCACCAAAGGCTTAGGTTTCTATGAAACTACTAATCTAGTATGAGTGGGTAATTTGTTATCTGAAGGAGATTGCAAGGCCTTATCTGCCCAAACTTATTTACAATACATACTCATCACTTTTTTTTTTTCAAAAATGTTTCTATTTTAATGCCTTTATCACCCCATGAATTTATATTGAATGAATGAACCCTAGCACCCTGAGATTACTATGTCATAATATCCTTCCTCCAGCAAAGAGGTTCAGAGTGAAAGGAATAAGGGACATCGACGTTTCCATGCCCCACCTTCGATCACATGCTTTGGGGGGGGGGGTTGTACAGCTCAATGAAACTAGGAGCTATGCTGTGCAGAATTACTCAAAATGGCCAGGTATTCATAGTGGGGAGTTCAGACAAGAAGTGATCCACTAGAGAAGGAAATGGCAAACTGCTCCAGTATCTGCCAAGAAAACCCCATGGATAGTACCAAAATGATAAAAGATGACATCAGAAGATGAGTCCATCAGGTTGGAAGGTATCCACCACGCTACTGGGGAACAATGGAGGGCAACTACAAGTAGCTCCAGTAACTCTTGAAGCAGCTGGGTCAAATCCAAAAGGAAGCTCAGCTGTGGACGCATCTGGTGAGTAAAGCAAGGTCTGATGTTGTAAAGGTCAATATTGCATAGGAACCTGGAATGTAAGATCTATGTAAGCTGGGTGTGGTCAAAAAGGAGATGGAAAATTAAACATTGAAATGTTGGGTGTCAGAGAACTTAAATGAACCAGAATGGGTGAATTTCATTCAAATGTTCACTCTCTATACTACTGTGGGCAAGAATCCCTGAGAAGAAATGGAGTAGCCCTCATAGTCAATAAAAGAGCAAGAAAAGCAGTAGTAGGGTATAATCTCAAAAATGACTGAATGATATCTCTTTGAATCCAAGGCAAACTGTTCAACATCACAATAGTACAAGTCTATGCTCCAGCCACTGATGCCAGAAAGGCCAAAATTGATCAGTTCTTTGAAGACTTATAACATTGAGAAATAACACCTTAAAATGATGTCACATTCATCATAGGGGTTTAGAACGCTAAAGTAAGAAATCAAAAGATAAATGGAGGGCAGGTAGGTGGCACAGTGGATAGAGCACCAGCCCAGGAGTCAGGATGACCTGAGTTCAAATCCAGCCTCAGACACTTGACAATACCTGTGTGACCCTGGGCAAGTCACTTAACCCTGATTGCCTCTGGGGGAAAAAAAAGATAATTTCAATAACAGACAAGTTTGGCCTTGGAGTACAAAATGATGCAGAGCAGAGACTAACAGTTTTGTCAAGATTACTTGCTGCTCATAGCACATACTTTTTCAACAACTCAAAATGTGACTCTACACATGGACATGGCCAGATGGTAACTATGGAAATCAGATTGATTTATACTTTGTAGCCAAAGGTAGAGAAGCTCTATATAGTCAGTTATAACAAGTTCTGACGCTGACTATGGCTCAGATCATGAGCTGCTTCTGGCAAAATTCAGACCTAAAAAAAGAGAAAACCATCAGACCACATAGGTATGACCTAAATAACATCCCTTATGAATACGAAGTAGAGGTGATGAATAGATTTAAGGGATTAGATCTGATAGATGAAGTGCCTAAAGAACTATGGACAGAGCTTTGCAATATTGTATAGGAGGCAGCAACAAGAAACATCTCCCCTTCCGAAAAAAAAAAGAGCAAGAAAGCCAAATGGTGGTGTGATGAGGCTTTACAGATAGCTGAGAAAAGAAGGCAAACAAAAGGGAGAGAAGAAATTAAAAGGTATAACCACCTGAATGTGGAATTCCAGAGAATAGCAAGGAGAGAGAAAAATATTTTCTTAAATGAACAATGCAAAGACAGAAAATAATAAAATGGGAAAGACATCTCTTCAAAAAAATTAGAACTATCTTAGGAATATTTCATGCAAAAATGGGCATGATAGGGGCAGCTACGTGGCACAGTGGATAGAGCACTGGCCCTTAAGTCAGGAGGACC